ATTTAAGCTAAGTCTAAATACATGAAGAAACAAAATGATTAAATTTCTTAACAAATTTTACAATAAAAAATAAAATTTTTAAAATTTATGTTTGTGATCTAACTAAATAATGAGTCTTTAATTGATTGCATTCATATAATGCAAGTTTTAAAAATATCTCATGCAAGCAATTCGATTCAGGTTAAGCAATGAGTAAATATGAAATCAATATTGCCACAGAAATTGAAGGACTGCATCGAGCAGGCTGCAATCAGAAATGAAACGCTGCAATTGCATTTCGGGGCGCGCACTTAAACAGTCATTAAAATGTTGCAATCAACCACAAAAGCTGCTGCTGCTGTTGATGCAGTTGCTGTTGATGTTGTTGTTGTTGTTGTTGTTGTTGCTGTCGCCTTTCATTTTTAATTTGCTCGGCCAACGGGCAACAATATGACACAAATTACAAGGAAATGCAATAAAAACAAAAATGAGCGCAACACCCGCCGGAAATGCGACTGCCCACATGCAGCCGACTTCAGCTCCAACTCCAACTCCAGCCGCGACTTGGACTGCGACTGCGACTGCGACTGCTATAAGGGGCTTCATGATGATTACTGACATTCAGCGGGCCGCAATAATTTGCTTATAATTTGCCGAGCGAGAAGTGAAAAATGATAAAGTAAATGAAATGCAGCAGACAGCAGCAATTGCAGCAGCAGCAACGGCAGCAGCAATTTCAGCTGGGGCATGTGGCAAGCCATTGGAAATGGCATCGCGTGCTTCCAGCATTTCATATATATTTGTTCTTTTGCTTTTCGTGCATTTTTTTTTATAGTTTCAAGCCGCCAAGTGCGCAACTGTTTCTGCCACATGGCGTTAAATGCATTGCCGCACAAATGAAAACCCAAATGTAACGCATACGCCCGGTTCGCCATTCAAGTGAGTCTCAAGTGCCGGCGGCTGCTCTCCCGGCACTGCTCGCCCTGTTCTTTTTCTCTCTGTTGTTTTTGCTTCGCTCTTGTGCATTAAGTGCAACAGGCGCGACAATTGAGGTGTGAAACTTGTCTGTGTGTCTGTGTGTGTGTGTGTGCAACACTTGCCGAAAGGGTGTCAATTTAAAGAGCGCTAATGGAGCGCGTCAAGAAAGAGCTCCAGGGCCCCGAGTCCCGCTAGCGCAATCTCTTGTAAATTCCCAATGAAATATGAAATATTCAATTTATACATACATACATACATATATGTATATATTTCAGCCTTAACAGCCCAAGTAGCTCCCTTGACTATCCGCACGCATCTATAATATGGGCACGGCCGAGGGCTGCCCGAGCACTTGTTTTCTATTAGCTGCAGCCGGGCCTCATTGGGCCCGATTGCACCCGAGGGCATGCACAGAATTATGCAGAAATTACTTAAAGCTTAGGTTCAAGTAGTCGCCACGCCACACAGCTCAGCGAGATAAAGCGTTTACACCCGCCAGCGTTTTGGCTCTGCTTCTTTATAGTGAAGCGCTTTAAAGACACCGCTGGGACCTACTCACACACACACACAGACAGACCCATGCGCATAAACACATGCTCAGGCGTCAATAAAAATCAGCCAGACATTCACACACACATGCCCCCACCCCCTCCCCACAAACACACACACACACACAGATCGAGCGACCGGCACGGGCATTAAGGACGCAGCGACAGGAGCAGGACAAACACGTTGCAGGACCAGGGCAAAACTCGTTCTTTCACACATGGAAATGTTTGCAGACGCCAGCAAAACAAACCAAGCCAGCCCCAGGCCCGACCAGGCTGGCGGGTGGGCGACGGCAGGAAAAGCTGCTTATAGAAAAATAAAAGCCAAAAGACATACAAATAAATTTTTCGACCCGGTGCAAAGCAATTTGCGCACTTCCGTTTATAAAAATAACACACAAAAAAATAAAAAGGGTTCCTCGTTAAAAACAAAACGAAGCAAACTACGCTTAGGAAGCACAGAAAATCCAGCGAAAATAGAGAGAAATTCCACTCGATGCGTTATTTTTCACTCCTATGACAAACTTTGCTCAATGAAGTTCGACTTGCCAGGCCAAAGCAAAAGAATTAGAAAGCAGTTGATTTACTTGATCACATATAAAAGCAGTGGGCGTGGTCTAAGCAAGCATGGACTTTAAATTAAAAAGTTTTCAGATATATTTAAGACAAGCAAATGACGACTTAAAAATAAGTTAAGCAAATATTATAAGAGGAACTTTATGGCTTATTATTCTAGCAGATATAATATATTATTTTTATGTATATATAAAATTCCTTTTTAATCATATTTTATTAGAGCTTCATT